GAACAGACAGGAACAGGATCCAGATCAGGCAGGAACAGACAGGAACAGGATCCAGGCTTCCAAGCATCAAAGAGCTCCCAGGCGGGTTCAGAGTCTGACAGGGTCCAGGTGGTCACCAGGTGGTCACGCACAGGAGCAGACAGGATCAGGTGCAGACGGGCAGGCTCAGTGGCAGAGGGTAACCGAGACAGGACGTGGAACCGGAACTTGATGCAGGACCTTTAAAGTGGTCTCCACCTTGGAGCCAGGCTTACTTGGATAAAAACTGAACCTCCCCGCATATTGAGCCAAAAACCCAGAGGACTCCGCGGGGGAGGAACAGTGGACGATCAGGAGACGAGACAAACACAAAACCCTTTTTCCACTGGCTGCTAGGATCCAGGACACGAACCATGAAATAAAACTGAACTGACAGGCTAACAGAAAAACAGTTAATGATTCGGCACTGAATGCTCAGTGTGAACTGAATAAAACCAAGAGGAAACGGGTGAGAGGAATGAATTATAATTGAGGCAGGGAGGGAAAACGGCAGGTGAAAGGAATTACTAATTAAGGGAGAGCAAACAGGCCAGATCATGACAAAAACATTAGTTTGGTTCTGCTTGCTGGTCCTGTGGACCAAATCTGAAATGTGATTGGTTAAGGAAAACATTCCTCACTAATATTGTTAAGGTGACTCTGAAGGCCTGGGCAGATCCGGCTTCCTCCCACAGTCCAAAAACACGACTGTTAGGTTAACTGGCTTCTCTAGATTCTCCTTAGGTGTTAATGAATGGTTGTTTGTCCTGTTTGTCTCTGTGTTTCCCTGCGATGGACTGGAGACCTGTCCAGGGTGGACCCCGCCTCTCGCCCGTAGACACCAGCACCCTTCGTGACCCTGCTTGGGATAAGCGTGACATAAACTGGATGGATAATCCAACTTCAAAAAAATAGAAAATTATGTTTAGCATTAATTCTTCTCCACGTTTCCGTTTAGTAAAACCTATTTTTTAAAGGACTGGTGCAGTCGGGGAGTTTGTTTTAGATATTTATGGAAACAGGATTAAATCGGAGGTAACTGGACTTTCCTTCAGTTCTTCTGAAGACGTTTCAACACTTATCCAGGAGTCATTGTCAGCTGTGTCTGATTTCACTAAAACAGGCTGTAAATTGGAGCTCTAATGTTTTAAAGAACATGGACGTCCGTCCTCCTCAGCACATTCCAAGTCAGACGCAAATCAAAGACCCAGTCGTCTTTTGCTTCATGTGTTCAGCCATTTTGAATGAGGAGCAGTGTGCTTCAGTAGTTCGGACATGGAACCCATTCCAAAGTAACTACAGACCTGAATGACTGAGGACTTTATGAAGGCATCTTTCTAGTTCCTTTTTGTGTCTCTGTGCAGATTACAGTTTTCAGGATGGGCTCAGAGGGGCAGCAGGACATCGAGATGTCCATCCTCACAGCTCTGCTGAAAGGTAACCATGGTGATGATGCCAAGTGTTGTTAAACAATCAGACGGCATGAACCGTGACTCACATCATGACTTCAGGTACCAATGCTTCTGCCTCCGATCAGCTGAGCCTGGCTCTGGCCTGGAACCGAGTGGACATCGCTCGTAGTCAGATCTTTGTCTACGGCCTCCACTGGCCTGTAAGTTCCCACCATACACGCCCTTCAGGTTGTTGGTGTTTTCTGACTTCAGTATTTCTTGTCTCCAGCCTGTGAGCGCCTTAACGGCTGATCGGCCTAAAAGCCCGGCAGCCCAGCGCCCGGCAGCAGCAGCAGCTAAAGGGAAAGCTAGAGGAAAGAAAGGGAAAGGAGCTAAAACCAAACCAGAACCACCGGAGGAGACCGACCCACGGAAACTGGAGCTGCTCAACTGGGTAAGATCCTGGCAGCACCCAGTAGAGAGACGTTTGCTGGAGCAGAGCAGAGAATCTATGATAATGATGCTGGTTTTCTGGTGGACAGGTTAACTCTTTGGAACAAGCCATGATGGATGCTCTGGTGTTGGACAGGGTGGATTTTGTCAAGCTTCTGATTGAAAACGGCGTCAACATCCATCACTTCCTGACAATACCACGTTTAGAAGAACTGTACAACACAGTAAGACTAAAAAACATGCCTGCTGTGTAACACCTTTCTGCCGGGACTGAGATTCAGGATTTAAACTAGTTCAGTAAAACATTTTTAGAAAAACTGTCCTAATGAGTCTGCAGGCTCCGCTGTCCACTTGTTACCTCATCCTGTTCAGATAGATTGCTGAGCTTTTGTATGTTTAGAAGTTGTAGAGTAAATATTTCTAAGAACATCTGTTTAATTTTGATTAAAGAAAATATTTAGTCAAACTTCATTAAAGTATGAATCAAATGCTCTTTATTTTTTGCTGCAGATGTTCTGTTCTCTATATTCACTTATATCCCTGCTGCTTTAACCTTAATCTGATCCACTGACATACAAAGCTTTTGAAATATCATTTTCAGATTACAGAGAAGCTCTTTGCGCCTTTTATTGTGCGCCGCTTAGCGTTAGGGTTTAGCTGCGGAAAGATCAGGGTCCAGTTGGAGATGCTTAGAGTTTAATTCTTGGGTCTCTTTGATGTGTCTCTGTAGAAGCTGGGACCTGCAAACACGCTGCACTTTGTGGTCCGAGATGTCAAGAAGGTGAGTGCTGTCACCCGAGGTCTTTGGACACATTTAGCAAACACCTTTAACACTGTATTCCTCCACTGTTTAACATTCAACCTACTGCAGAATCAGTATGACTGAATGCAAATGTTAGACCTCACACTGAATAGATTTAGAGCCTAACACCATAACAAAGTGGAACGTTATTAGCAAATTACTTTTGCCCACCAAACCTTGGAAAGGTTATCACGTCTTCTCAGAACCATCTTTCCATAAACCAAGACAGGAATTCTCAGCAGGAAAGGATGACCCAAAATGTTCAACTCGAGGTCAATTCTGGGAAAATTGACCTAATTTGGTCTTAATGAACAGGCCCAGCAGAAACACCTCACTCTTACTATTAATTACAGCAGTGGAGGATTGATGATCTAGGCTTCTGCTTCAGCTGCGAGACTTGGGTACCTTGCAGTCAGGACCAGGTCCTCCTTTGTAGATCAAAGTAACCTAGAGTCCAGTGAGTCATATCAATGTCATGATTTTATCAAGAGCTCAGACCCACATGCAGATAAACCAGTCCAGAGAGACAAGGGAAAAAGTTTAACAGGTTTATTGAGAAGTGTTGTGGAGGTTCCAGTGTTGCTCTGAAGACTGCTCCACGGGAACTGAAAGGTGAGGGGAAGACACTGCGGTTAGTTCAGGTTCAGTGAGAGAATTGATTCTCGAACTTGAAGAGGGGAAAAGGTTGGCAGACTCACGTTTCCAGAGATTAGGTTTACTCTTAGACTCCAGCAGGTGAGGAATGTGTTCCGGTGTTTGTCTCATACGGTGGAGGGCGGACAGGGTTACCCAGAATGCGGTTGTTTGTAGATGAACGGAGAAAGACTGACTGCCACTCAGATTTCCTGCGGTACGTGAACGGACTGTTGTGCAAATGAATCCCTTGCTCAGTATGAAGCTCAAACGTTTCCTCTGGGAAAAGTGGATCCAAACCGGTGGTTTGGATCCTCAGCTCAGTTTGAAGCTCAGTTGATCCTGCCAGGGAGAGAAGGTCCCGAAAAATCCAGTTTGCAGGATGACTTCCCAAAACAGGCAAACACTCTGGCGTCAAGTTAGTGGCAGTCAGCGGCTTAAGAACACTCCTTTAACGAGGTAACCCCTTGCAGGTGTGTGAGGAGGAGAATCAGAACCAGGCGCCACCTGGTGGAGGAAGGAAGACAAACACACAGAAACACAGACCACACAGACTGGAGTCCTAACAATCAAAGGTTTAGAGTCTTTCCAACAGGAAGAGCTGAGACCAAACTTGGTGATTGAAAGATACACTTTCCCAGAGAGCAGGACTGGGCAAGGCAGTCATTTCCAAATTGTCAAATATTGGCGGCTTGTCAAGCTCTCTACCCTTCAGATAGAAACAGAGGTATCCTTCTCATCATATATTGATGCCAGGGTGCTTGAGAGGCTTTGGCAGGAAAAAAAAATTACCTCTATGCCTAAACCTAAACAAACACCAGCATGAATGTTACGAACACTCCTAAAGCTACCAACAGGAACATTGTGGGCTAAAATTCTGATTGAAGATCAAGGCAATGTTTTGTGACACAATGTCCTCAAACTCTCATTCATCCCCGTATCGATAAAAGACGAAAAGGATACTATCGTTGCACAAGTATGTAATGTGTCACTCCAAAAAAAGGTCAATGTTTGATGTGTTCAGAGATAGAATGTGTTGGACAGGAACCCTAATATGAACTAAAATAACTCCCATCTTTGCTCCAGAGAAAACATCTTTAGAGAATCATTCAGAATATTCTTTAGCTTCAGAGGTTATATATGTACACTGAGTTCTGTTTGGTATTAATTGGTGTGTTCTTTCAGGGGAATCTTCCTCCTGATTACCAGATAACACTGATTGACATCGGGCTGGTTCTGGAGTTCCTAATGGGTGGAGCATACCGCTGCAATTACACCAGGAAGAATTTCAGGACACTGTACAACAACCTGTATGGACTCAAAAGAGTGAGTAAGGGTGGAGGAGGAAAGAGCTCCACAGGATGGAGGGCAGAAGTTAATATCAGTTTGTTCTGATCCGGGTTCCTAACCTGTCGAAATGAATGAGAAATTCAGCACAACAGAAAACTAATCAGACATCTACTCTCTCATTTCTGTGCTTTCTTGGTTATAGCCTAAAGCTCTGAAGCTGCTTGGAATGGAGGTAAGTCGTTGATAATAAACTGAAATGCTGAACATAGGAAGTCATCACATGTTCTGATCTCTGTTTATTCTGCAGGACGATGAGCCGCGACCAAAGGGTAAAGGGAAAAAAAGCAAGAAGAAGGAGGAGGAAGTAGATATTGACGTAGATGACCCTGAGGTCAGCAGGTTTCAGTATCCCTTCCATGAGCTGATGGTGTGGGCAGTACTGATGAAGCGCCAGAAGATGGCGCTGTTCCTGTGGCAGAGAGGTGAGGAGGCTATGGCTAAAGCTCTGGTAGCCTGTAAACTCTATAAGGCCATGGCTCACGAGTCCTCCCAGAGCGAGCTGGTGGACGACATCTATCAGGATCTGGAGAACAACTCAAAGTGAGTTCCATCAAAGGTCTGGTTCTGTTTGCTATATATGGACCATTAGTTCTGTTTTGATCGGATATTTTTTTGTAAAGCTTATTTTTCCATCTTACCAAGACTTGCAATCTTATATCAAGCCAAAATGTCTTTTTCAGTTGTTTTGGAGTTTTATATAGTGCAAGATCGGATTCTAATAATTAATAATCTTCTTTAATGAGGAAACTGCTTGAATTAAATGCAATAATCAGCCAGAGCAGTAAAACAGTTGCACTCATTATCATCTGGTCTTAAGTGCATTTGTCTTACTGCACTATGTTATAACCATAGCTTGACTAAGGGCAAGGGGGGGCAACATCAAAACCTTCATCTTATAGGTTTCTAAGATCAATTTATTTGTTTGATTTTCTTTAGCCAACACAAAAAGTTGCAGGAAACATCTTAATATAACTAAAAGTAAAAACACAAGTTGACTGACAGCTACAGTGAGTCACTGAACAAAACAGGTAGCACTTTAGAAGGTTACAAACATTAAAGGGTGCTACAACAAGAACAGCTATCAAAGCCTGGCAAAGATGTCAAGCAAAGAGGCAAGCTGCTCAACATAACCCCGCCATGCCGTCAACGAGGGAGTCCTGCGACCTTCCCCTATAGGTCACTACTCAATACCTACCTCTCACTACACTCACTTCTGAATTGAGTCCCCTTGATGAGGATGTAGGTATAACTACATCCTAAAGGCTGGTTTATGCGTTTATGCTCAGAAACCAGTTCGTCTGCGTGTGTGTCCCAGTTAACGCAGATATGCCCCGCCCCTTCTGCAGACACTATGCGTATTTCCTGTTTGGTTCCTTACCGGCTTGTTCTGTTTGTCTGACCTCCATTGTGGAAAACGACTGGTGATTTTAGCAAAAATT